TTAGTGGGGAGTTTTCATGGTGGTGTGACCTGGAGGAGAGATCCAGTCCAGCTAGGAAGTGTGGGGGCCTCAGGCTGGGTCCCGGTGGACAGAAAAGGTCACTCCAATGTGCCCACCGCCTATCTCCTGTGATCCTGCCACCTGGGCTCTGGGGGTGACTGAGTTTTCCCCCCAAGAGCTGTCTCCTTTCCTGGAATGCCCCCCGCAGCCTCCCCTGCCCACACACTGGTAGGTGGTGGAAGAGACACAGGAAGGGCTTTGGAACTGGACTTGGGGTCCATTTCTGGCTTCATTGCTGCACCCTGGCCTCATGAGCTCTCCAAGCCTGCTTCCTCCACTGTAACTGGGCTTTGTGGCTCCGCCTCATCCCTCATTGTTACTGACAAGGGTCAATTCCTTAGCCATTCTGTATACGCCAGGCGTGGGTGAGGGTCTGGAGGCATCAGGCTCTTGGCAGCAAACAGCCCGAGCAGCGAGCCCGAGCCAGAGCCAGGGTGGGCACCGCCATGTCGGATTCCCTTTCCTCCCACACTGCGCACAGCCTCCTTCCTGTCTCAGAACAAGTGGCTTCCTGTCTGCTGGACTCAGCCGTGCTTCCTTCCCAGCTTCAGCAAACCGTCAACTCCAAAGACGGCTCCCACCTGAGATGCTCTTCTGCAGGGTGCCCTGGCCGTGCCACCCATCAGGACTCCAGGTGGGCCGTGGGCCTGCTCAGGCCGCCAGGACGTGTCAGAGGCGGCCCTGGCAGCCTGGGAATTGTCCTTACGTGGCCACCTCTGCTTTCTGCCTCTCAGAAGCCTTGACCTGGGGACTGTGCCTGTCGGAACCAGCTGCCATGCGGTGAGAGTCCCCAGGCCCATGGTGAGGCACGGGTGGACACTCCAGTGAACAGTCCCAGCTGAGCTCCCCAGTGACGGCCAGCATCACTGGAAGCCACGTGAGTGACCTTTTCGGACAGCTAGAGCAGTCGAGCCCTCAGAACACCTGGCCAAAACCGTAAGAGAGACTCCATGTGAGGACCACCGGCCGGGCCCAGCCAACTTCAGGAGCAGAGTAAGTGCCAAGTACTTGTTTGAAACCGCCAAGCAAGTGGTTATAGAGCAGCAGATGCCCAGCACGCCAGCCTTCCCGCATGGTCCCCTCCAAGCCCGGACAGTCAGGGACTGGGTCCACAGAACACAGCCTAGCCTCTGCCTTCCCGCTGTACCTCTCCTTATTACCTTGGAAGGATGCCTTCCTGCTGGGCCAGATTCCTGCTCCGCTCTGCGCAGAGGCCTGCTAATCACTTACGGAGTGCTGCGGCCGGGGATTTAGCTCAGCGGTTCTGCCCCCCGCTTCACAAGCATAGGTCCCAAGTTCGATCCCTGGTACCAAGAAAACAAACAAAAAAAGTAGCTCACCACTTAAGGACTGTTGGTCTCAAAATGGGTTTATTAACCTCGAAGGTATCCAACCTCTCTCATCCTCCTGCGAGACCGAGGACATCAAGAGAACAGTAAATAAGGTATTTTCAAGATTTGCTGGGACTTTTAATTGCCGCTTTTTACAATGTCCTGTTCCAGACCCCCTGGTGCAGGTTCTAGAAGTCTCCAACCACTGTCCTAAACTTGCGGTCCAGCACACAGAGCACCCCGTGTTAAGATCACCTCCCTAACTAAGCAGGAGCGATCGTCTCAGGGGAACCAGACGACCCCAAGCAAAGGCTCTCCACAGCACCTCCCAGAGTTGAAATGAGAAAGTGAGCAATCAGACCCTGCTCCCCCCAGGGACCCCAGAAAGCTGGGCCCTTTCCCTTATTGTCTTGCAGGACTGATCTTTGTCACTGCTACGTCCCGCTCGGTGCCTCTCCTCGAGCTCAAGTCTTGCCCATTTTCTCGTCCTTCTCAACTAAAAGCTTTGCCTGTACACTCATACTTCTTGGCCTGCTTTTCATTTCTATTATCACTGAGCCAAAGGACCCCGATGCAAGTATCATGGTGACACCAATGACACAGGCAACCAGACTTGGAGTTCCAGGATCTGGGAGTGGCAGTCAACAGCTTCTGGATTCCTGGATCTGGCAGACAGCCTCGGGTCCTTGAATTCAACTGTTCTGGGCAGTCTCGTGATTCCCCTTACCCGATTACGGCAGTCACCGGAGCTCCCCAACCTGGCCAGGGATCTGGGAGCCTCTAGACTTTCCAATGTTCTAAAAGAATTAGGTGTATAAAGCACCCTCTTTCCTAAAGTGCCGAATACATTTCTGTTTCTTGCACTGCAGCCTGATTCACACACCCCGACTCTCTATAGCTCTGCAGGGCTCTCCCAGATTTGTTTCTTTTATTATTTAAGTATTTCCTCCCAGAGTATTTTCTATGTGCGCTTTGCGTGTGTTCCACCTTCTGAGGGTTTATTTACCTAAGGATATTTTTATTATGACTTCACGTTTAAATGACAGTTTGTCTGACTTTACGATTCTGCATTGGAAGAGTTCTTTTCTTTCGATCTTGAATGATAGTACTTCCTTCACTTGCTTTATGGGGTGTCGCTAGTCAGAGCATGCCAGTCTGATTCTCCCCCTTGTGTTGGTACTTTGTAATTTCTCTCTGCTCTTCCTCTTTGTCTTTTGCATTTTTATTTTCGCCCTAATATCTGTGTGTGATTTTTTTCCCCCCTTATTTCACTGGTTTTGTTGTTGTTGTTTTGAGACAGAGTCTCACTTTGTAGATCAGGCTGGCCCTTAACCCACTGTGTAGCCCAGGCTGGTCTCGAACTCACAGCAATCCTCCTGTCTCTGCCTCCGGCATGCTAGAATTACAGGTGTGTGCCACCACACCAGGCTCTCTTATTTCATTGTTGGTTATTCTAAGAGTCCTTTCAGGGCTGGGGATTTGGCTCAGTGGTTCCGGCGCCTGCCTCACAAGCACAAGGACCCGAGTTTGATCCCTGGTAATAAAAAAAAAAAAAAAAAAGAAAAGAAAAAAGAATACAGCTCATGCCGGTGTGGTAGTGCACACCCGTAATCCCAGCACTCAGGAGGCTGAGGCAGGAGGATCGCTGTGAGTTTGAGACCAGCCTGAGCTACATAGTGAGTTCCAGGTCAGCCTCAACTACATCGTGAGACCCTGTCTCAAAAGAGGAAAAAAGAAACCTAAGAGTCCTTTCAAACTGTGTTCATGCATTTTTCTGTGCTACTGAAATATTTAATCCCCCATTCTTTCTTCATCTCCCGCCTTATTGTTCTTTCCTCTTGGGACTTCTATTCTCTGTATCACTTAGCTTTTCTTTTTTTATTTGTTGTCTCTTTATCTTTCACGGATGCCTCTGACGACAATTTCCCATTAATGTTTTGTCTTGGTTCTCACTTATGATTTCTTTTCTCCTGATTTTAGCAGTTTTTAATGAAAGATGCATATAAGCTTACTTCATTCCTATATCTCCTCAAATTGTTTTTTCTTTATATTTGCCCTTTTCCTTTCCCAGTGGGTGAAATTTGGCTTCAAGTTCAAGGATCTGTCCTTGGTCCTCTGTCTAGCTGTGGCCTCATAACTGCCCCGGGTGGGGTGAATACCCATGGGAAAGGCCCAGCCACCAGTCTTTGCTTGTTGCACCTGCTCAACCCAGATGACATATTTCTTCCCGGAAACCTGGACTCAGGGAGGCCTAGGTGCCAGCCCCATGGAGGGCCCCAAGGGCTCAGGCGTGTCCAGCCCAGGCAGGAGGCCCGCAGGCGGTCCGGAGCCGGCTGCCCAACAAGCCTCTCTGTCTAAGACACTGGCGGACCTCTTTTCTGTCCTCAGACCAAACTGCGGCCACCACGCCTGGGAGAGGACAACCACATGAGAGGTCCCAGTACGCTGCTGCCCTGCTCCTGCCTCTCAGCTTCCCCTACCCGCAGCCTGGCTCAGGAAGGCAAGGAGCCGCACTGGCCGGGTCTTGGCTCCGTTCGGCTCCCTTCCTGTCTTCCTGTCTTCTCCTGCCCACTGAGAATCTATACTTAGAAGCAGGGGTTCATCTCACAGCAGATGAGGAAGGCTCCATCCTATTAGATCCAACAGGGCAAGGGTGATAGTTTTGGGGGCCGCACAAGGAGCGACCTGTGTTACTCCAAGGCTGGCTGCAGAGGTGGGGTGCGGCAGAATACAGTGTGTGTCCGGACACGGGCCGGCGAAAGGGCAGCCTCACGTGGAGGCTCCTTCTCCTTGGCATTAAAAATAAATCATTTAATATTAATGTACATAATTATGGTTTTTGCTTTTCATAAGAGGTTTATTTTTCTTTATTTCTTTTTGTTTTTTGACACAGGGTCTCACTATGTAGTTGAGACTGACCTGGAACTCACTGTGTAGCCCAGGCTGGTCTCAAACTCCACGGTGAGGTTTTTTTTTTTTTAAAAAATAAGATCTTATGAGGCAACTTGAAATCCACTTTACCTTTTTATCTCTCTCTTTGACTTTTCATTCCACTTTATTTTATTTTTGGTACCGGGGATTGAACTCCGGTCCTTGCGCTTGCAAGGCAAGGGGCAGAAGCACTGAGCCAAACCCCCAGCCCCATTCATTTCACTGTATTGGCAGCTAGGGAATGAAGGAACCGTGGCTGCCTGTACAATCCCCGGCCCCCCACTGACAAAAGAATGTGGAATTAGGGTACCCGGGTCTGCTCTAACTGTACCGGATCTCGAACCGGTCGCGCCCTCTCTGGATCCTGGTTCCTTCCCCTCTGAGATGAGGGGTATCCTCTACTACATTTTGGGGCCCCACTAGTTCTAACACTCCACGACTGTGCCCTGGTGCAGTGGGGTGGGGTCGTCTCGTGTGTTACTCTCTTCTTTGGGGCAGCCCAGGAGCTGCAAAAGAGTCCCCAGGCCTCTGCCCAGGTGTGATGTGTCTGAGAAAAGACACACCCGATGGGTGTGAGGGGACAGCCCTGGTTGGAGGTGGATGGGAATGACAAAATGAAAATGCAGCTCAGGGTCAGTCTTGTCGGGCCATCCTCTCTCAAAGCCAAGAGCAGCGCTCAGCCTGGCTGTCTGCATTCCACAAATGCTCACTGAACCCCTACCGTGTTCCAGCTGCTTTACCTGGTAGGGTACAGCGAAGGGCAAGGCAGGCTTTGTGCCCACAGAGCCCCTAGCAAGACACAGATATTAGACAAATAAATGAGAGTGAGCTGTTACCGAAAAGGCCTGAACCTGGCTCTTCTGGATAGCTCTGTCCATCTTCCACGGGTGTCCCTCCTCCTCTGCCTCAGACCTTTGCTTCTCACTATTCCTGGTCACCCCAGAGGGCAGGACCCCCAGCCGGGCTGCCCGAACATCATCAGAAAAGCAAAGGCGTGTAGCTTTGCCTCAAGAGCGCAGCTTCCTCCAGGACTGAGGCAGGAGTGACCACAGTCCACGTGTGACTGCTCAAAGGGGACCGGCTGCTGGTGATGAAAGCTAGACACCAGGTTCCCACAGAGACCCAGCCCATTCCTCAAGCTCAGCCTACCTCACACCTCAGGAGTGGCCCGGCTCCACCCACCGTCACCTCCCTCAGGTCACCTCTCCAGGAAGCAGGCATCACCCAGCTGCTGGGGACACCACGGAGAACCGGACGACGTGGGCCCTAGCACAGGCTAGCAGACGTTCACAGCTTGCATTGATGGAGCGCCTACTAAACACAGACCCTATGTGACAACCTATGGAGAAACTCCTTCATTTCGGGAGCACATGATACAAGGTGGACAACGCAGGGGCTCTGCCCAGGGCCGAGACAGCCCGGACTCCAGGGTGCACACTGATTCCGCAGCCCGGACCGCTGCACCGCTCCCCCAGCCCCACTCAAATCCCAGCTCCTCCGAGAAGCCCTCCAGGAATCTCCCTCCCACTCGACTCCTGGGCTTCCTCGGTTCCTCCGATTCAGCGCGGCGTTTGCCGCAGCCTCCTGCATCCTCGGTACCCCAGGGCACGGCTCTGCCTGCATCTTTCCCCCCTCGTTCAGTGCGCACCCCCAGGGCTGTTCTCCTGACTTGAATTTACGGATCCGAACTGGAACCCTGCGCTCCCCCACCCCCGCGGAGGGGCGTTTTCAATTCACCGAACCTCAGATCCTCACGGGCGGCCTCCGCAGAGGGTCAGCCATCAACACGCCCATTTCACCGAGGCACAAACACAGGTCCTGAAGGGTCAGAGACCCGTCGAGGCGTCTCTCTCGTCTGCACCCCTCAGGGTCCAAGGCCACGGAGATGGGGGATCGGCCTCCCCCCCACCGCACGCGACCGCCGCCCTGGCGCGCAGTCTCCCCAAAGGGACCC